CGATTTATGTCAATGACGGAAAGAAGGTATGTAGTTAAGTACAAAAACGAACAACGCCGATTTAAAACGGATAAACTTTCGTTCTCTTCAAACTTGATCGTTCAATATCACAGTTCTAGTTAAGCGATACCATTTATATACTAACGTTGGTCTACGAAACAATCATTAAGAGTGTTTGAATTTGTACGCAACAATCTCATCTGGAGCATTGCATTAGAGAGCATTGACTAAAGAACTTGTACTTCAACGACGTAACATCTGGACAGGTGTTCTCTTTTTATCGAGGTGTTCATTTTACGTCTTCTAATTCGCAATTTGTTCAACGTGATAATTAAGAAAAATTAAAGTAAAGGATATGAACCTGTAGGATAGAGCAACGCCTACTGCGGAGATCGCCATTCCAAGGCCACTGACAAAGGCCAGCGCTTTTCTGCCAAAGCTATTCGCCAGGCCAGCGCCGGCGATCGATGAGAACAATCTGATCACACCGATGCCAACGCTCGCAGAGTACTCGTTCAAGTCGATACCGATGTCTTTGAGGATGTTTACGGTATAGAACAGAATGATATAGATCCCTGATATTTGCTGGAGCGCGAAGAAGATGAGCAGGATGAGAAAAGGCTTCCAGACGCTTGGCATGTGAAGAGCTTTCAGCAGACTCTCTTTCCTCTCTTCCCTTTTCACGTTCGCCTCGCAAAGTTCGTCATACTCTTTGTCGCTACTTAAACCGGATCCTCGTAACCATAATAAGGATTCTTTTGCTTCTTCCGTCCGTCCTCGGGCGATCAACCAGCCTGGCGTCTCCGGAATCATACTGCGCAAGAAAGAATGATTAAGTCTCTCGAGAGATCTTTCAGGTCAATGTTAATTTGGAAATTCGAAATTTGATCGATTTTTCGCAAGTAGAAGCTTATTATATTGCAAACTTCTTCCTAGCCCTTGTACTTTCCTTTGATAAAAAAGTTTTATACCTGTTTTGACCGTCAAGTTCAAAACAATCATCGAGAAAAAGAAATATCAAAGTTTCGGGCGGAACGAAGGATTAATTTTCCGACACGGAAATTTTTATGTTTGAAGTGTGATTGTTACCGTGTCAACGCCAAGGACAATATAGCAGGTCCTATACTAATCGCAGCGGCATTTTCCCACCTAATGAACGCCCCCAGCGAGTAGATCATCAGAACGCCAGCCGAAACTAGAACTGGTCCACAGCTTCCTAACCAGCCTCTCTGGCTTGGCGCCGCAGTCTGTAACATTCCACGAAGAATTAGTTGTCATAATTACTAATATAACACTCATGGCAACGACTACGCTTCCTAAATTTATTTCAGCTCTGATCTTTCAACTTTTGTCTCTCTCTCTTTCTCTCTCTTTTTCTTGTCCTTTTTGTCTCGAAAATAATTCGCCTCGCAATTCATTCAATTCAGATATTACGTTTCATTCAAAAACCGATTATTCGGACTAAACTTAACCGATAAGAAAAGTTACCTCATTCACGTAAAGGTACAGGCCATTCGCCATGCCCATACCGATCCCACTGATAAATCTGCCCACGTACAACATAGGTACGCTCTTCGACAATGCTATGAACAACCATCCAGCAGCGTGAGGAACACTGGCTAAAGCGATAGCCGATCTCCTGCCAAACCATTCGGCGGACAGTCCAGCGATCACCGATCCCAAAGGATTCGAGACAACTCCCAGTGCAGCGATCCAGGTGTTTTCATCGCTGTTGGCGAAGCCCTCCTCCGTCAATTTTGGGAGTAAAATCGCGCTGAATCCCTGGCCAAGTCCTACAGATATTTGCCCAGAATGCGCCGCCAGTCCAGCGAATATCTAAAAGTTACAGCGAGCACGTTTTGAGGAATTTCGTCGCACGGATGCTCACGTTCGAATAACAAACACGTCCGAATGTATCATTTCAACCGATTATCTCGCATCGTATTTGGTGTTTCCACGTTTCGAGCCAATTAGGCTTACGTCTGTCGCGTGCGATACGTGGCCAGAAATCGAAGCCAGGTTCCGCGAACGTGCACTGAAATAATTATACCACCGGAATCGCGTCGCGTTCACGTAAGCGATGCACGAACCCCACGTATATGTGTATGTACGTATGTATATGCGTATCTTTTCACGTGTCGACTATGCCCGTGAATCGTTAACGTGGCATTCACGATCCTCGAAATCATCGATACCGAATAAGATCGGGATTTTGAAATGAACCCGTGAAATCAAGAACCCGTGTTCTCGATATACTCGATGTACACACGTTTTTTAATGATGGACACAGGGAACTTCCGACTGTTGGAAACACGTTCCTGTTTTTTGCTACACGTGATTTTTCACCTGTTGCGCCCGCGTCGACGAACGACTCGTCAAGTTTTGGCGAGTTTCGGTCCACTCGTTACGCTGGCTAAGAAGCAACAGGCGAAGAAACTAGTTCCTCCGGAGGTCAAATACGAAGGTTCGCGGTGGCTCGGAGCGAGCGCCGATCTAAAAATGCCAGGATACCGTGGAAAGCCGTCTGGTTGTTGTACCGGAATCTCGGAAATCCCATCGAACGGAAGGACGAGTCTGCTAACGCGACTTACTTATTCGCGGACCTCGTCGTTTCTCCCTTCGCTGGCCTCGTTTAAAGAAGCCTGGAGAGATATTCTCGACAGATATAGCGTCGAATCGCAATAATTGCCGGACAGATCGCAATCGTTTAAATACATTGTTGTTACGCGTACACTTTTCCAACATGGGCTGATCATGCTTCGCGTTTTCCCCGTCGTCGATACTTCCGAATCCTTCTGTGTTTCACCACTTTTCGTATCCTCTTGCGTATTAATCGCCGTGCGATTGCTTGCAATGCGAACTTACTCGTACGCGCGGTTCTTCCTTGTTTAATTAATTATTACCTAATGGAGAACTGTTGTAACGCCTGATGTCGATTAACGACTGTGATTGAGATATTACGAATCTGACGTATAACTCGATTCTATCAGATAACAAGATAAACAGCGGAACAAAGATATTTAGAAACAGCTTCTTCGGGAATACGCGCGCAATATACGTGGACACGACACTGCGATAATTAAGTTGTTACATACGTTGCACGCAACGTGTCCGATAATTAAGTTGATAAATACGTTCCACGCAAGCTTAAGCTTCTTCATCGTGTACGTTGTGCGTATAGATAATATTTAAATTATCTAAATGTTTCTCACATAAAATAAAACGATAGATCGTCGATTAAAATGATTAAAGCCTTCCTTACACCTTTCTGCTCGGTGCATAAAAGTTTCCACCAGAGTTTCACTCGATCGATCATCGTGTTCGACGAATCTTCCGGTATCTGTAACAGACAGAGAGCTATCAGACACAGTTTCACGATGCAAATTCGCGAGAAATTGCGTACATTTTTTTTGGCGCCGGAACAATACTTTAACAAGATTATTTCTCGCAAGGGCTACCGGAGGGAATTGAATAATGAGACCCGTTTAAGTGTTCCCACTCGTCCCTACGTGGACACCGGAACACAAGAGGAACCGCACAATGGTCTCGTGAGTGATGGTCTCACGAGACGCGCGTGATTTTCTGTCGTGTCGGAGGCAACGCTTACTCGTGACAGATTCGCACGTGAGTCGCAATTTGTCTATTAACGAATTTGCCCGCCCATTAAATTTCGACATTATCTCGTTTCTCGATTAAACTTCTCGGGTTGATTCACCGCCAACGAAATGGTTGCCTCCAACCAATGATCATCTCTTTTTCTTCCCCTCCCCAAAATGACCAATTCTCGAGGAAAAGAAAAATTACGTAAATGTACGTAAACAATAGGTTTTCCATCGTTCTCCGTGAAACATACAAACAAATGTACCTCTCCAATTCGTATTTTCTTGCCAACACTTTGCTCGTTACTGTTAACTGACGGCCTTTTGCGCGAAACGAATAATTGCATTCGCCTATTAGCATTTATGTAGTTTTATGTTTGCTCGATCATTGAAAATTTGCTTAAATATCTTCTCCGTTCTTTTTTTTTTTCAATAATAGTGCGATAATTACAAAGATCTCATTGACGGGGAAATTCAAGAGAAAAACTTAGAGTAATATTAATTCGTCGTGCAAGATGCGACGCGATAATCGTCGAAAATAGGGGAGGATGAAATCACGAGGATGATTGTTATTTTCCGTGAGGGAAACGATGGAATTCAGTCGAACAGCATGGAACGGAAAATTTTGCGAATCCATGTGGCGTTGCTTCGTACGTCTCTTTATTTATAAAAATTAACGATTTTCGAGAACAAGCGGCCTATTGTTATTTTTTTCTAGCCGATGGACATGTTTTCGCAAGTGCGACAGGGAGTGCTGGGCGCTGAGTAATCGCGATAATCGAACCATTGTCTAAATAAATGATATCAGTTTCATTTATTCGCAAAGGATCTCGAAAAGTGGTACTTTCATTCTCTGCAAGCGTATTCATTTAATGATAACGTTGTTGCATGCGGAAGCAATAAAAATTTATCGCCGAAAGATGTGTCGCATTTGCACGACAACATACTCCCTTTAATGTTTTCTCAGATGTGTTTAATGAAGGACGTTGTTGCCGATACTTTCGAACGCATTACTTGGATATTAACAGGGATTTTTATGCAATTTCATGTTTTCAATAATTAAAAATTATATAACGGGTAATCCTCCATCTTGGATATTCTATATATTATATCATATTAGATACAATGCAAATATAATATATAGGTGCACTTTGAAATTTTTCAAAAAGTTCATCAATGAATCATCGTGTCATAAAGAAACGAGTAAACTTCACGATCTTTCATTTTCCCCGTATGCCGAGAAAATGCTTTCGCATTAACGTAACTGTGAACGTAATACAAGTAAGTAAGTGCTACAACTTCTGATATAGTAATTACAAGCAACAGGTAACGTTCGCGGCAGTGTTATCCGCATAATCGAGCGATCGATCGATCGAATAACAGCGCCAGCTTAAATGCCAGGCGAACGATTCAATTCACGCGATCACGAACAGCGTTTCTATTCTAATTCGAGAGACGTTACTTCGCGATTGTTTTATTTTCGTGACGTATCAATTTGCAAAGTTAAAACCGAGCCAATTTCATTCACCGATTGATCGTCGAAATCGGAGAGCCAATTACACCGATTTATTAAATTTTACGTAATAATCGTTCGTGGCATCGCACGAAACATCGCATGCACGAACGCGTTAACATTACGTGAGTAGTATCCCATAAAGGCACTAACCTTTGGTAGCTATACTTATTTACGAGAGTCACGTAAATGTATCTGACGAATTTCGCGATTTCAAGTTTCCCTCCTTTCTTCTGAAATTACACTACATGTCGACGGAGTTGAGCCAGCCCTCCATTCCTCGCACGATATACAATATACAATACGCTCGAAGAGTTTGAACGCGACTAGAGTCTCGGATTCTCACGGTAAGGTCGATATCATCGATCGTCGACTCGAGGATCGTAAATCACTTTTATTAATCGCGCAAGGATGTTCCGCTACTAGATCTCGCCACGGAACGATTTGTATTACCGCGGTCACGATCCGGAACAGGACGACGGAATGTCGTAAACGCAACGATGGCACGTCGGAAAAGCGAGAGAGAGACTGAGAGAGAGAGAATACAAGTTACAATCGAAGTTATTCCGATTGCGATCGGTGTCCTCGCCGGCGACGATCGACGTTCCTGCTTTTTTTTTTCTTTTCTCCGTTTCCTTCCGCGTTAAAATCGCGACAACCTGTGAACCAACGACGTACAACACATGTGCTCCCGAGTCATCGAGAGACTGTTCCGTCCACAAGTACACATAAACACAGGAGGCACACACTGACACAGGAGGTCCGTCGTGGGTTTTTTCACTTCTCACTTGGTACTGAGATGATTTTCGCCGGCGCGTTCGCATTTATAGTGGAGGGAAGGCGCCTCTCTCAAAACGGCGCTTCTCGTCGGTGCACCCTTCCAGGGACGTCTCGAGGTCTCCCGGTCTCTTTTTCACGCTGAAATCTTTTTCTTGCGACCGTCGGAACGATTCCCTCTGACCCTTTAACTCTATCCGTCCTTTGATCGATTCCCTTTCCTCCCTTTTTTTCTTTTTCCTTTTTTTCTGCGAAATCTATCTATCCGCATTGTTTTTCAATTTCATCGAGCGTGTCATCGTTTCTGCAAGAAGAAACAATCTAAAGAAGTAAGCTGATTCGCCCTTGATCCTCCCGCGATCGGGAGGAATCGAACAGCTTGCGAAAAATTTCGCATATCCTTTTAATCAGGAATCGATCTTCGCCTTCGATCTTCTTCCTGGCAAATTGACCTCTAATGATCTCTAATGATTGTGGTTTTCCTTGATAAAATGGCAGAATAATTGCACGCCATTTAAAATTTTTCCAGCTGCAAAAGGCACTATTGTAAAAATTGATCTTCCTAAGAAATCTATACTGTCGGAAATGAAGAGCTAAGATCCGACACTTTCGAGAAACATCTTTTCGTCCGATGGCCGAAAGCCAATTCGAATACTTCGAACGAAAAGATCGACAATCTTACGATGATTTCGATGTACAAACCCACTCTCTTAATTAAATTCTTTCATGAATACAAACTGTTCACTGTGTACGACGAATCTTGATTAAAACTATATCTAACGAAGCTGGTGATATAATGAAGTCTTTGATCCAGAAACTTGAGCATCCTCAAATGACACGGTCTCCCATTAATCGCGATAAATTTATTTCGCAATCACGTTACGTACCTGTTTGCCGATAAAAGCCATTATATTATGCATTCATGACAAAAAGTATGACTATTTTCT